AGCCCGTCACACCGACCCCCCCTGCTGTCCCGGCTGCTCAAACACAAAAAGCTCGGGTTCCTCTCTTTCTGCAACACTTGGCTCGTGTTTTTCTGAGCAGAACACGAGAAGATCACAAAGAACTAACTGGTGGTGCTCTTTGTTGGCAGGGAGGGGAAAAAAAAAGCCTCCCTCAGCTTTTAGCTGAGCTGAAGAGCACGGCCAGGCCGGGAGGAAATGTTCTTGTGCATCCCCTTCACACATTTCCCTGCTCTCCTTTTCTCCTCCACTCACAACTGCTGTTTGCTTATTGAGTGTGTCTGGAGGGGAGTTTTCTGAGCTTCTGTTCATTTACTCGTGTCCAGTTCCCTTCCCAGGCATAAATCAGGCAGGGGGACAGCAGCAGCAGCGATTCCTGGCACCCCCAGCACGCTGAGCAAACATCCGAGTTCCGAAAACAATATACAATGGATTATTCATAACAGGCCCAGTGCGTCACCCAGGAGTAATTATAAACATGAAATCTATCAATAATGACCATTTTTACAGCGGATTTAACAAAGTAACACCCTCCAAACAGCCTCTTGGTTACGTATCATTAATGAAATGCCAAAACATTTAGGGTTTTTAGCGGGACAATTAATTACTCCCAGTAAATATGGGAGTCCTCTCCTATAAAATAGGCTTTTAGACATCTGGTGAGGGTTGGGTTTTTAAAAGCAAGAGCTGATGGTTCCTGCAGAAAGTTCCCTGGGAGCTCTGAGAACTGGAGCCACCAACACGTATAAACGAGCAGAAGGTAATTAAAGAGATGAGGGCACCCATAACTCTCATATAAATTGAGGTGGATCTCAGTGCAAGATTCCAACCAGGGCACACTCCAAGCACTTCCCCACTGCAAACATTCAGGGCTATTAATTTCCTTGGAAAAGTGTCTTCAAGCACACAGGATGGCCCAGCTTTAGAGGAGGGTCCAGGTGTACAGTGAGGATCTGGATTCACAAGGAGGATCCAGTTTGACAAAAAGAGGACCCAGATTGACACAAAGAGGATCCAAATTCCCAAAGAGAATCCCAGTTCTCTTGCTGGGAGAGGGTCAGCTGACCCAAACAAAGACCTGTCCCAACAGAAAGCTTCCAGAACCACTTCCAGGCTGGTTATTAACTAGCACTAAACCAGGGCCAGGCTGTGGTGAGAGAGGGTTCAGAGACTGCTGTGCTCAGGATTTCTCTCCTGCAGAAAACTGGGAGTATCAGCTGCCTCTGGACACACAGGACTTGCAGCACTACTGGCAAATGTGACCTGGGAATGAATCCATTCATCTGTCTATCCATTGTCCATCCAGAGCAGCTGTTTAACACCAACCACTGCACTATTTAGCTGTTTATGGCAAGAGTTTGTAACTAACCCCCAAACCTCAATGACCCCCCTACATGTGCATCCACTGGGAGTGGATGGACCTTCTCCAAGGGGTAAGATTTGGGAAGCACTTGGATTCAGCCAGATCTGAGCATGTGCTGGAGCACCTCATCATCCACAACCTTAATTCCCAAGTCTATATAAGTCTGTGCTTCTTTCCTTGCAAGCTCCTGGTCTTTGGAAGATTGGGAATAGTAAAGCTGCTCCCAGAAACCCAAACGCTCATTTCCTGCCGGAGCACAATATTTAGCTCTTGGGGTGGCACAAATTACAGCATCCTTATTTTTATTTCAGCATTTATTTGCAGGAAATGTACAACAGAAACCTGATGCTGGCTGGATTTTAAACCCACAAGCACTCTGTAAACAAGCTCGACCCAGAGAGATTTACATGTTTCTTCTTGAAACATAAGGAGAAGCAGCGAGGCTGAATAATTGGAAACAGTTCTGGAGACTTCATTTGCTTGTTTTTTCCTGGGATTCGCTTTTGGGGCTGGCTGTTCCCAACCTTAATACCTGGCAGGGTTGATCAACTAGTTGGAATCTCATTTCCATAGTAGTTGATGTGCCAGGGGGAAATCAGTGCCCTGGAAGAGGTCAACAATATGCAGGGGGAAAAAAGAGTGTGGAGAGGCCATTTTTCTTCAACTGCCGCTTCTAAAAGGGGTCAGAGCAGAGTATCCAAGATCAAGGCTGAATATATAAATATGCCTCAAAGAACACATTACTGTGACATCCCTGGGAGCCTCTGGATCCGTCCTCAAACCCTTTGAGAAGGTGCCAATCAGCAGCACAAACACGCCCAGGTTTTAAACACGTGCCCATGGGACACTCTTCCCCCTCAGGAGCCACAGCCACTCCAGTTACCTGCAGCGGGACAGGGTGGGGGCAGCAGTGCTCCCCTGAGCTGTGTGCTCAGCTGTTTGAGGCTTTGTAGGGTGAGGGGACCCCTCAAACCCTTCTGGGATCTGGGCAAACAGCCCCAGTCCTGCAAACAGAGGAGGGTGCAGAGGAGCTCATTAAAGAGGATCCTCGTCTTCAGGGAGGCTCTGCCCTACTGACCTGTTTGCAGGATCAGGCCTGGGCAGGGAGGAGCCCAAACCCAGGGAATTTGGGTTAGGAAGGAAGGAAGCCAAAGTGGAGCTGGTACAGGACGTCAGTGGCGGCCGTTCCCTCGACTGGACAATGTTCCAGCTCCTCGGGCTCGCTCACATTAATGGTTAATGTGCCAGCACCCAGGATAAAGAGTTTCCCAAGGAAACTGTTGGCACACGGAGCTCTCCTTGCACACACATGCCCACAGCACTGGCACCTGTGTCCTCCCACACGAGTGTCCTCCAGGACCTGAGTGACCACAGGCAAACCCAGCAGCGATTTGAAAGGCAAAGCAGCCTCATTTGGGGGCTTGGTGCATTTCTAACTATCCAACCCCCTTCTGCAGAGACCACGGAGAAGGACTTCAATAAACAGGAGGGGAAGGAAAAGGGCTGGCTCAGAAAGCCCTGAACCTGCAGCTCCCCCAGCGCCGCTGGGCATCGCTCACTGCTGGGGTTCAGACACAAACCTGGCAGCTTCTGCCCCTTGTCACCCCACTTTCAACCTCAGGAGACACCCCCTGAAGCTGCTGAGATGCCAACAGAGCGGGGGAAGGTTACAGGCAACAAACAGCACGGGTCCAAACCCCCCACCCAGGTTAAATGGCTCGATAACGGCTGGAAAAGGGAGGTCTGAGCTGCCTGGAAGCCTCAGCTGTGAGCAGACCTGAGGACAACATGCAGTGCAGATGTTTAAGGGTTTCTTTTATCATGCTGTAAAAATGTATATGCAATCATGCCCAGCAAGCCTCCACAAGCAGATATTAAGTTCAAGGAATGAGAGGGCAGTTTTAGAACCACCCACTGAATTCGTCCACATTTTCCATGTCCTGCCCGTGGACTTCAGGTTCAACAGAACCAAATCCAGACTGTGGCTTTTATTGCCACTGCTTAATGCCTTTATTCTAAGAAACATTTTCACATTTTAGTGCTTTTATCAAAGTAGGCTGCATTTAATTAAAAGCAGACCTGTAAAGCAGTTTGTTTCTATTGCCCTCTTTCCATGGTAGCTCAAGAACTATTGCATAATACCCAGCATTTACTTTAGTTTTGTGCTTACACTTTTGACATTAACCACATTCAGAGGTTAAAAAAACAATGAAACCCTCCCAGCCTTGCAGAGCTTCTCCATATGATCAATCCCCCCAGTTAAGTGCTGAATTAACCAATGTATCTTAGCTGGGGACTGTATAAAACTGAGTAAAACTGACTCATAAAAAAATCCTTTCGGTTTACCTTAAGAAGGCACCTGGTTAAAATGAGCGCTCTCAGACCCTTTCAGCATCCCCAACATTTGCTGAAAAGGCTCTGCCTGGTCCGTTTTCCATCTCCTAACAGCTTGCCTGCCATATTTCATGCCGGATCAATAAGAGTTCCATGTGCACAAATGGGCTAAAAGGGTGTTTGCTGGTATTTCTAAGCCCAGCAGTTTCTCAGTGGGCTTTTTGTCCGGTTCACGACAACTCTGGAAGGTAAAACATGCACAACACCATCATCTTGCTATGGGTCAAGCCAGGCTTTTAAAGCAAAACACAATGAGAAGACTTGCATTGCAGTTGAACTTACAGGGGGAGGTTTTCTGGAGGCTGTGGGAGACGCACAGGACCAGCCATTTAAAGCCCGACACTGGGCTGGGCTTTGGGCTGAGGGAGGAAAGCCTGGACAAGCAGCCACCAAAATGTTGTTTGGAAATCCATCTATATTTATGTATCTATCTATCATGATCTCAGCACAATCCTCCAGCACATTATGATTGGACAAAACCTGCATGACAATGAAGAGTGTGAGTTTGGAGCGAGGAGGCACGACCCCGACTCCCCACCCTGCCGAGACAGGGCAGGAAGGAGGTTTTGGTTAAATTTGGGCCAACTATTTCCCTTCAAGTGGGTTTTTTGCTTCCCCCCTCCCCTTGCAAGCCAAGTTTTGCCCTGGGATTCCACAGCAGGGCTTGCAAAGTGCTTTTGTTCCCTGCTGAAATCCGTCTGCGGGATCGAGCCCCGGCCTGATCCTGCCCCACCGGAAAGTTAAGGGAGGTGTTGTGAGAACCAGGTGAGGTCTGCACACCACTGAGGACACAGGAGCAGAGCCCAGCTCCTGCAGGGCAGACCCCTCCCTGCAGAGACCCCTGAAGTCCTTACACCACCTGGAAGCTTCACCTGGAGCAGGATTTGGCTGGGATCCACCACCCTTCCCCATCCCTCACCTCCCGATCAGATTCTGCCCGGAGACACACAGACCACTTCCCTGGAGCCAGAGCAGAGCCTTTATCTACAGGTGCAGTGCAGAGAGGATTTGGCTACAGGTCCAGTGCATCCTCTGAGGAAACAGTTAAGCCCCCACCAGGACTCCCAAAACTGCAAAGATGAACCTTCCCCTACCAAACCCTTCCCAGAAATAAAGTCCCAGCGCACGCACACGCAGGTCAGGGCACATGCAAGGACCCTCTCCCTCCCCAGAAGAAGCCAGCTGGAATATTCCTTGATAAAAAGATGGCATTGGGAGCTCTTACCTGATAAAATCTGTATTCCCAGCTACCAGCACACCTACAGCACCAGGCTCTCATGGGGCATCACGCAAGGGTGCAACAGCAGATTGGTGCAGGTCATGGAAGTTTACAGCCAGAAGCAAAAAAAACCCAGCCCAAAACAACCCCAAAAAATCCCCCAAAAGCCACAACATGACCCAAATGATAGCCCTGCAACGGCTGTCTCGTTACAAGCAAGCTGAGATGAAGGAGGGGTTTTTACTTGCTCTGAGGCATCATATGGAGCTTAATCACAGGCAGTTACGTATATGGTTCTTTTGGCCTTCAATCAAGTGTGTCATTTCGGTGGCAGCTGCCTACGTGATGTAAGCAACCTGGGCATCCAGTCCTTTGCCAATCACGGCCTGGTGCAGCTATTTTACAGCTGAACAATGGGGGAATTCGATTTCCCAGGCACCGAGCAGATCCTCTTGGAGTCCGGCAAAGCCACACAGGATCACACACCTCTCCTCCCGCGGAGTTCCAGGCAAGCCCAGCCCGGCCAGAGCTCAGCGAGCCGCTCCCAGCGCCGCTCCCGTCCCGCTAGCATTCCCGACGGAGCCCATCTGGATCCTGACGACTTCCAACACTCTCCAAAAGCCACTGAGAGACAAAGCTTGTGAGGCACCCGGCGAATTAGTGCGACACAGCGCGGCGGGTGCTCGGGGGGAGGCGGCTGCTCCACGGGAAACACTCAAACTTGGTGGGTGGAAAAGGTCTGAGCTGCTGGTGAGTAACAGGAGGAACAGCTCACGCTCAGGACGCAGCGGCAGCTCAGCCACCCTCAGAGCAGCCCTTCGGTGGGGAAATCGGGAGGCAATCGCTGCAAATCAGGTGTTAAACCTGGGCTTGAAATTAGAGCTGAAATAAAAGCGGGCTGGGCTGAATAAATTACAGCTCCGAGCAGGGGCTGGGTGACAGGCAGGACTCGCTCCGGGAGCCTTTTGGTTGCCGACAGCGGCATCAGGAGGTGTTTGGGGCCAAAGTCCTCTGTCGAGGACGTTTGTTGGTTTTGACAGATTCATTAGGACCCATCTATTCAAACAGATGGCGGCTGCTCCCTCTGCTCTGGGCTCTCCATTCCTGTGGAACTCCACGGGAGCAGGACACCGCATAGACACCGAGCTCTCATTACATCACCCACGGCGCGAACCGGGAGAGGGCCAAGAAATTAGGAAAAAAAAGGTTTTCTGGGCAGCAAAAGTGCTGTTCTGCTGCTCCATGGCAACTCCACAAACACCCGTGTGTGCGCCCACAGCCGCACACAGCCCAGGAGAGGGGAGGGAAAACCGGGAATTAGCCGCACGCGCCAGGGGAGGGGGTACCGAGTGTTCCCGCCTGGAGGGGACGAGCATCCCGAGCATCCACACCCGCAGACCCCCCGTGGCCGCCCGCGGACCCCGCTGTGCCCCGCAGGGGACGGCGCAGCTCCCGCCCCGTCTGAGCGCGCTGGGAGGGTGGGATGAACCCCCCAACAGGTCGGTCCCCGCTGGAGCCCCCCAGCCGGGCAGGGGAGGGCACTGCGCTGGCACAGCCGGCTCCCTCCCAACCCTCCCCTCCCCGCCTGGGGGGCACCCGCTGCTCCCCATCCTTCGCCACCTCCTCGACTCACCTCTCCACCCGCCGGCTCCTCCGCCACAGGTTTGCTCGGCTCCACTATCCCCCCCCTCCCCACTCCAGATCTCTCCTTTAGCCGACTTACTCAAAGGAGGGAGGAGGCACAGAGAGAGAGATCTGGGCGGCGAGGATGGCGGAGAGAGAGAGAAAAAAAATATATATATATATATATAAAACCCCCACGAAAACGGATGGAATCGAAGAAAACAAGCGAAGAGACGAAAGGCGAAGAGGGGGTGCTGGCGGAGGAGGAGGAGGGGTGCGGCGCGGCGCGGCAGCCCCGGCTCAGCGCCCCATGGCCCCCGCAGCCCCCCGAGCGCAGCCCGAGCCCCGCCGCGCCGCGCCGCGCTCCCCCCGGCACCCCCGGCCAGGGCGGCGGCGCAGCGCCCGGCTGGGACCACCCTCCGCCGCGGCCAACCTTGCGGCAGGGCCCCCCCTCCATAACCCCTTCATCGCCGCTGCCTCGGTGCCGGCCGCCCCCTCCTCCCCGTCCTCCAGCCCCGAACCCCCCCGGGGATGCTGCGCGCACCGGGAGGCTCCGGCCCGCCCCGCTCCGGCCGCCCCTCCGGGCAAAGGCACGACCCCAAGGATCGCGGGGGCACAGAAGGTGCCCAGGGGGACCCACAAGGAGCGGCGAGTCCGGCCCTGAGCCCTGCACGGGCCCATCGCAGGGGTCACACCCCGTGCCCCAGAGCATCGTCCAAACGCTCCTCGAGCTAAACCCCGGGGAGGAATCGCTCCTGTGGGGCTGAGCCCCTCGGGAAGTTGGCTCTCCAAAGGCTCTCCAGGTCTCTTCTTGGCAGGGAGAGGGGTTCGGCTGCCAGATCCTTTTTTTAGAATCACAAAATCATTAAGGTTGGAAAAGACCTCCAGGATCATTAAGTCCAATGATTAACCCAGCACTGCCAAGCCCACCACTAAGCCATGTCCCCAGGTGCCACATCCACACATCTTTTGAACACTTCCAGGGATGATAACTCCCCTGGGCAGCTGTGCCAGGACCCAACCATCCTTTCCATAAAGAAATTTTTCCTAATATCCAACCTGAACCTCTCCTGGTGGTTCTTCTCATCACTTGTTCCCTGGGAGCAGAGCCCGACCCCCCCCCAGCTCCCCCCTCCTTGCAGAGCCAGAAGGTCCCTCCTGAGCCTCCTTTTCTCCAGGCTGAGCCCCCCCAGCTCCCTCAGCTGCTCCTGCTGCTCCAGCCCCTTCCCCATCTCTGTTCCCTTCCCTGCACACCCTCCAGCCCCTCAAGACCTTTCTTGAAGTGAAAAGCCCCAAACTGAGCCCAGGATTGGAGGTGGTGCCTCAGCAGTGCCAGCACAGTGACCTCACTGCCCTGGTCCTGTTGGCCACACTGGGGCTGATATAAGCCACAATCTCTTGGACTTCTTGGCCAACAGCAGTGGAGGAGAAGAAACCCCATCTGCACATGTGTCCTGGGTGTCTCCCTGAACCCAGTGTCCCCCCCAGCCTGCCTGACCCTCTCTTTGATGCTGGAGGCAGAGGAGCAGAGCAGGGAGATCCAAATCACTGATTCTGACAAGTCCAGAGAGTCCTGGGCTTCTCCATCACGAAAGAACAAGTGCCTGAAGGAATGCACTTCTCCTGGCTTGCTGAGCACCTCCTTGGGCTTCTCAGCTGAGCTGGAACTCCCACCACAACCTTTCCCTGCTGCAGTCACCTTCAGTGTGTTCCCAGAGCTCCGAGGATCTTGCTTGACTCTCCAGTCTCTTTGGGAATGCACCCGAGGCACACGCTCCTCGGGTCACTGAGCCCTCCAAATGTGGGGAGAGCTGCACCAGAGGGGGGAAATTCAGCCAATTCAGCCAATTTGGGTTAAAAACATGGCGAGCTGCTGTGCTGGGAGAGCAGCTGACTGTAGGAGAGTCTTAATGGGAACCCAACACATCTAAAATTGCCTCAATTGGATCTGGAAAACAGCCTGGAGAGACACCCGTCACCGACAGCAACACTCCCACAGTCGTGTAAGGCATCAAACAAAGCCTTCAGAGTGTGGATTTTATGGCTCAAAGGTGTTTAATTCACATCTTGTCTCTGTTGTACTTTTCTGATGTAAAATCCTTCCCGTTTCCCTCCTTTCAGCCTCGTGGGTCACAGTGTTCCCCACGCTGGGATTTTACCATCAGAAGGAACATGATCTCCAGCTCAGGAACCAGGGGCAGAGGGATTTTTGCTTGCTCTGCTCCCTGTGTGAATACAAATCCCATCCCCATTGGAATTAAACTCTTTGTGCTTCACCAGCTCAGCTGTCCTGCCCAAGGGAGGCATTTCTGCATCCTGATGCCCCTTGCCCAGTGCCTGGACACTCCCTGCTCCCCAGGTCCTGGGCCTGGATGGAAATTCAGGAATTTAACCATGGTCCAAGTCCCTTATAAACCCTCAGGCCTGGTTAAAACCCGCAATTTAACCATTTTTATTAATTTATTTGCATTTCTATGCCCAGCAACCTGGCCCTCAACAGCAGCAGTGGAAGGTGAATGATGGGACCAAATGTTTCTTCAGGATGAGACTCACATCAATCTCTTCTCATCCTTTTACTTATTCATTTCTTTGTTTTTATCTTGATCCATTAGGAAACTTTCACCTGCCACTCCCTGAGCTCCATCTGGGCTGCTCATGGGAGTGAAGCGGGGGCCAAACCCCTCATTTGTGAGCATTATTCCCTGCCTTTAGCTAATTTCCTTTCCTCCAGCTCTGGAAAATATCAACCCAGAAAGGTTCCAACATTCATGGCTGAAAACAGTAGCTGGAAAATCCATTAAGTTTATATATTTATTATTAAAAATCGTTAAACGACCGAGTCCTCATTAATCCCTAAATAGATCCAGGATCTCTCCAAACTTGTGTCCACATAAATAAGAGCAGCCCATGGCTCTTTTCTCTTGGTTTTTTTTTGTTAAAATACCGCTCTGATGGTGTCACCCCCTCTGTTTTGTTAGGATACAGAGCTGATGGTGTCACCCCCTCTGTTTTTAGGACGTCCTGGGTGCCACGGCAGCTCCAGGGGGGGCGGTGGGAGAGGGAAGGAAAGGGCTGCCTCAGGAACGAGCCCTGTGAGATTCACATCACCCTCCTGAAAATGATACAGTGAGAGACAATATAATACCAATGTGACAAAGCATCACACAGGAGAATTATGCCAGGCAGGGCAGGTTGGTGGCTGGTGGGGACCGGCCGGAGTTGTCACCGCCAGCGCCGAGCTGTCACTCTGATAACAAGTGGATTAGCCCTTGATGTAATTTGCTATCAAGCTGTTGCACACCAGTCAGGCTGATGGAATTTGGGTCCCTCCCAGCTCGCAGGGAGCTGCTCAGCAAACCCACAGCCACAGAGGCAGGGCAAGGGCTTCGTTTTGGGATCTGGAGCGAACGCGCCGTGAATCGGCAGCAGTGAATTGGGTGTCCAAGGGGAGGCAGGGCAAGCCAGGGGATGGTTTTAGAAGAGGCTGGTGCCTTCAAAATATCCCTTGTGTCTTAATGTGAGGCCTGTGGGGTCAAACTTAGAGGTCCCTCAGATAAGAAAGTCCTCAGTTGGGTTTAAAGGGCTTTGCTTTGCCCTCTGCAATGAAACCTCGGGAAGGTCCATGGAAGCAGGAGGTCTGCAGTCACCCCCTCAGTGCTGGGCAGGGGGCTCTGTCCAGTCCAATCTCAAATATCCTGAGAAACAGCCACTCCCCCACTCCCTGGGGAGGGTCCAGAAGCATTTCCCAGTCTAATGGGTCTCACGAGTGGGATAAGTTTCTCAACTTCCAGCCTTCATTTTTAGTATTGCTTCATTTCAGCCCATTATTTCTGATGAAACGCTTTGTGGAAGGCACACAATTGCTCCCTAGCCCGGGTTTTCATGTTTTAATGATGGTTAATTATTCCAGGAGAAACTTTTATTTTTACTTCTTTTATCCGGCTCCTTTTCTCTCCGGCTGCTTTATCCTGAAGTTTAATTAGCGCGTTTCCGAACGGAATATCGAGATTAAATCACCGCTGAGCCAGCTCTGCTCCAGGATTTATGATCACTGAGCACAGCTTTTATTGGACCTGCCAACTCAGGCAACTGATTTATTGATCAGTGGGTTTTTTGGGCCTGGGACGAGCCAGTTTGGACCACAACGGACTCGGGAAAACAGGCCAGGGTCTCCCAGAGATCCTGCCCTTCCTCCCCGCCCTGCAGTGAGGAAGAGGAGGGATGAAGGTGCTGATGATGAGGGTGGGGAGGCCCTGGCACAGGCTGCCCAGAGAAGCTGTGGCTGCCCCTGGATCCCTGTAAGTGTCCAAGGCAAGGTTGGAGCACCCTGGGCTAGTGGAAAGTGTCCCTGCCCATGGCAGGGGGTGGGACTGGATGAGCTTTAAGGTCCCTTCCAACCCAAACCATTCCTGGATCCTCCAGACCCCAGGGAGGGTATCACACACCCCAGCAGCAGGTCTGGGCTGCAGCAGCACTGGCGGATTTGCATCTCCAGCCCCACCATCTGCTTGGCTCCAAGGTTTCAGCTCAGCCTATTAGGGAGATTGGGGCTGGCTGCAAACATCAGATGTAGGCACAGGTTTGGCTCCAGTCCATCCCCAAACGCCAAGATTTTGATTTGAGCTCATCTGCAAATGCTAAAAAAGCTTCAGCTTTGCAACAGAGTCCACCCTAGTGGAGCTCATTGAAATGAGACCTTCAGGAAGGGGAAAAAAAAAAAAAAAACCAACCCAGAACTCCTTTTAATTGCATTATCTCAACAAAACTCAAGCTTTAGACAAATGTGATCACACCCAAAAAAACCTACTTGCTCCCAGCTGAGAGGCCAAACACTTGTGGCTTCTCTGGGGCCAGAGAATATGCTGTCAAGGGGAATGTGAGCTGACACCCTTCCCTGCCAGAAGGCTCCCCATCCAGGGAGGTTCATTCCCCAAAAAACCTCAACAGAAACGCCCGTGTGCAGGAGAAAAGCCCCTCCTGCTCATAAGCAGCCTGCTTTTCCTCTTTTTATTCCTCCAGAGCAGCTCTGGCACGTCAGGCCATGAAAATGGAGAAGGTTTCAGCCCTTTGAGCCCACAAAAAGCAGCCAAAGTGTCTGCATGGGCAGAGAGCCCCAAAGCAAACCCAAGAGAACTCCCGACAAGTTCCAGCAGCGAGGGCTTGGGGTGGGGGGGAAGGAGGGGCTTTTTTTGGTGTGTGTTTTGTTTTGCTCTTCGAAAGATAGCCCTGTAATTTAATGACTCATACGTTCTCCAGCCTTTGTTGCTTTTC